GTGCGATTTGCGTAACAATTGTAGTGTTTGCGTTGTTAGTTACAAAATAGCTCACCGTGAAAGCTTGAAAAGATGAGTTCTTACAGGTATTTACCTGTAAATGAAGATCGAATAAATTTATCCTTTGGTATCTCTGATTTTCTATTCAACGAAAAATTAAAATCAGCACCAGAAAAATTAGATACCAAGCCGACATACGTCAGCGACATTTGTCGGTTTCGTGATACAGGGCCCAGATATTTCTAATGCAACAAAGGACATTTCCAAGCTATTACTACCAGAAAATTTTCATGAATTGTAAAACAGCAAAGGGTAATTACATTTATTTACATATTATAGATATTTCATATCATGGGTGTAGATAAAGTATTGTATGCGACTGCTTTTGAGGTATTAAAACACTCATGTGATACTATTATATATAAACCCACATTCGTGTTTTAGTATCCCTCATTATACAACAGTTGAGTTGCATAAATAACAATAAGCTACTAATTAAAAAGTTCTTATTAATAAAGCCAACTACAAGATGTCTGATTATATTTCAAACAGAAATGCTTAGTTTTAAACTGTTCCAAACGTTCCGACAGGCTGTTTCTATAGTTATGATATGATTTTTTACTGACACCGTAACAATATGATATTTTGTAAATATTGTTAATTAATTATTTAGGGTTATGAAGGTTTTTTCGGCAGTTTCTCCCCACAGCTAAACATTTCCTAGACAGGTGGAAGGGGAAAAAAGTGGACGATTCCAATTTGTATAAATATTTATTGACTTTTTGTAAATATTCATTGTCTTTGAACTCCATATTAATGGTGTATAATTATTGCATAGATTTATATTACCAAATAATTACAGCATTATTAACATAGCGTATGTAATATAATAAGATCTTATAGTGTACATGTAAAATATCGAAAACGGTAAATATGAGTCAACATATGTTACCGTTAAAAAAGATGTCCGGTTTGTTTTACTTTTACATGAGCTGTAATTATCGTATTTTGCTCCCCATCAAATAATTAAACCTGTGCCTACCAGCTTATCGTACGTTTGCCAGGTGGACCACATTTGTGGCGCCTTTCTATGGTAATTTAATCCCTTTTGTTTGTTCGCAAAAGGTTCGTCCGATCAACGCAACGGGACGTCTATCGATTAAAAATATTTTTAGAATTGATTATCCCAAAATCGGGTGACATTCAATTTGATTAACAAATAACAAAAATTATATCCATGAGAGTTATGGTTGTTGGCAAATTTAAAATATGTATATGGTGGGAGTATTTTAGTTAAACAAACAGGTAAGACTTCTCACAATATATAAATTCAATTCAGTTTAAACAATCAGTCATAGCTAAATAACTGTGGTCTATAGACGCATGATGCCTATTTTATCATTCTATCCTTCACAACCATAGGTTATTAAAAACCTAATATCGTTGCGTCTTAATCAAATCAGTCAATTGCTCATCGGACTCGTTCAAGAAAAGCTTTTTAGAATCGTTCTAAGGATTTTTATTTGGCAAGATTTAATTGGGGTGTAAGGGGTTCTAAATACACCTGCAAGAACCCAAGCCAACCTCACCTTCACGTGGTGCACCCTGTTGACCAACAGACGAGGCTCTGGCAAACCGACCGATGGCGGTATAACCATCCAATGACGTAGGGGAGGAAAATGTCACTGGTGACGGGCAGCAGCGTCATCAGTAAACAAACCTACGCTCTGCGATCGCCAACCCGCCTGCCCAGCGTGGCGATTATGGGCAAAACCTTCATGCACAAGAAACTCAAGCCACGGCCCCCAGTTCCCGGCAGCCCCGCTATTCCTGGTCACGGTGGCGACCACGGTAACGGTGGGGCGGGGGGTGCCAAGAATCTCCGGGCTACGGGAGGCCACCACAAAAGACTGACCCTGGCGACGTACAACGGACGCACGCTACGGCTTGACTCGCATCTGGCGCAACTCGAGGTGGAACTTGGAAAGATTAGGTGGCACATTTTAGGGTTAAGTGAAGTCCGAAGAGAGGGGGAGGACACCATAACCCTCGAATCGGGCCACCTAATGTACTTCCGCGGGGGAGACCAACAGTCCCAAGGTGGCGTTGGGTTTTTGGTAAATAAGTCCCTTGCCGATAACGTTGTGGAAATGTCCAGCGTGTCGAACAGGGTAGTGTACCTTATTATAAAGCTCACCGAGAGGTATAGCCTCAAGGTGGTGCAAGTGTACGCACCGACCTCGACACACTCGGACGACGAAGTGGAGGATATGTTCGATGATATATCGAGGGCCCTCCACTCCACTACTAAGACCCACTACAACGTTGTTATGGGGGACTTCAACGCTAAAGTGGGAGTACAGAATTGCAGCGAATCGGTAGTAGGATCCCATGGATTTGGAAGCAGAAATCATAGGGGGCAAATGCTCGTCAACTTCCTCGAACAGCAGGGGCTCTTCTTGATGAACTCTTTTTTCAAGAAACAGCCCCAAAGGAAGTGGACATGGCAGAGCCCCGACACTATGACTAAAAATGAGATCGATTTCATCATGACGGACAAGAGGTACATATTCAGAGACGTCTCCGTGATCAACAGGTTCAATACCGGTAGTGATCACCGACTCGTCCGGGGCTCTCTGAATATCAACTTTAAGGCCGAGCGCGTCCGTTTAATGAAATCCAGGCTCCAACCTACTTTGCTCCAATCTATAACAAGATCTGAAACGTTCCAGTCAAATCTGGAGAACCGATTTGCTGCCGTGGAAACCACATCAGACGTAAACCAAAACCTCGAAAATGTGGTTCGGATTCTCAGGGAAGAGGGTACGAAACTATGTGCAACGCAGCGTAAGGGCAGGAAGTCAAAGCTTTCGGAAGAGACTTTAGGGCTAATGAAGGAACGACGTGAAAATCCACCCGTCACTTCGTCGGCAAAGCGGACTCTAAACCAAGAGATCAGTAAGCACGTACGACACGACCTCCGATGCTCCAATACTCTCTCGATCGAGAGAGCGATCGAGCAGAATCGAGGGTCCAAAATGTTCGTACAATCTCTTGGAAGAAGCCATCTGACGAAGTTGACCACAGCAAGTGGGGAAGTTGTTGCTTCAAAGCCGGCAGTCCTTTCGGAAGTGGAAGACTTCTACAGCCAGTTATACGCATCACATGCATCTCGACCTGATCCCGGAAATGAGGATTCTAGAGCCACATTAACACGCCACTTCACCGAAGACCTGCCAGAAGTCAGTATTGGCGAAATCGAGATTGCTCTTGGACAGCTTAAAAATGGAAAAGCCCCTGGAGAGGATGGTGTTACAACAGAACTCTTGAAGGCTGGAGGTAAACCCGTACTGAGGGAGCTCCAAAAGCTTTTTAACACTGTCCTGTTCGAAGGGAGAACTCCGGAGGCGTGGAGCCGGAGTGTGGTCGTCTTGTTCTTTAAAAAGGGGGACAAGACCCTTCTTAAGAACTATCGACCCATATCCCTTCTAAGCCACGTCTATAAACTGTTCTCAAGAGTGATCGCGAACCGTCTTGCGCGAAGATTTGATGACTTCCAACCACCGGAACAGGCTGGGTTTCGGAGCGGATACGGCACCATAGACCACATCCACACAGTGCGGCAGATTATACAGAAGACTGAGGAGTACAATCGGCCCCTGTGCCTAGCATTTGTGGACTATGAGAAGGCCTTTGACTCGATTGAAATCTGGTCTGTCCTGGAGTCCCTGCAGCGTTGCCAAGTCGACTGGCGATACATCCAAGTGATAAGATGTCTCTACGAAGCCGCCACCATGTCTGTCCAAGTACAGAATCAGCAAACAAGTCCCATACCGTTGCATCGTGGAGTGAGACAAGGGGACGTTATTTCCCCGAAATTGTTCACTAATGCAATGGAGGATATGTTCAAGACGCTGAACTGGAAACGACATGGCATCAACATAAATGGCGAACGCATCTCTCACTTGCGATTTGCAGACGACATCGTCATCATGGCACAAACCCTGCAGGACCTACAACAGATGCTGAATGACCTGGCTGACTCTTCTATACGCATCGGCCTACGGATGAACTTGGATAAAACCAAGGTCATGTTCAATGAACATGTTCTACCGGAACCGATTGCAATACACGGTACCGTTCTCGAAGTTGTTCAAAAATATGTATACCTCGGGCAGACATTGCAGTTGGGTAGAAACAACTTTGAGGACGAGGTGAATAGAAGAGTTCAGCTAGGTTGGGCAGCGTTTGGGAAGCTACGTCAAGTCCTGACATCGTCGATCCCACAGTGCCTAAAGACGAAAGTCTTCAATCAGTGCGTCCTACCTGTGATGACATACGGAGCCGAGACGTGGACACTGACGGCACGGCTGATCCACAGGTTCAAAGTCGCTCAACGCGCTATGGAAAGGGCTATGCTCGGCGTTTCTCTGAAAGATCGCATCAGAAATGAGGTAATCCGACAGAGAACCAGAGTTATCGACATAGCCCACCGGATTAGCAAGTTGAAGTGGCAGTGGGCTGGCCATATTTGCCGAAGAACCGATAACCGTTGGGGTAGACGAGTTCTGGAGTGGAGACCGCGTCTAGGCAAACGTAGTGTAGGACGTCCTCAGGCACGGTGGAGTGACGATTTGCGCAAGGTGGCTGGCAGGAGCTGGATGCGAGTAGCCCAAGATCGATCTGAGTGGCGTGCATTTGGAGAGGCCTATGTCCAGCAGTGGACTATGATAGGCTGTTGATGATGATGATGATTGATGAAGATTTAATTATATTTTTATGCAAAAATAATTTTCTAATGATTCATGTGTGCAGACATCTCGTAATTTTTATCATCTATTTTATTTTTATTAATGTTGCTAATAGAGGCAAAAGAAATAAACATTCTCTGAAAACTCATTCTGTTTACCTAATACGTTGTTATTCTAAAAAGATAAATAACGTCTGTCTTTAAATTTAAACAGACAAATATTTTATTATTAATAGTAACTCTTACTCACCGTATGTATCGTTATTGTTATTCTGCGCTAAGTATTCTAGTCCAGATGTATTTCTTGTCCAGTCTGCGTCATCGTCTTGACTGGAATTTGTTGTACTGCAACAATGGAAAAACATAATTGCAGTCTATTCGATATACTAAGAGAGCGCTAATGTTACTTTTTCTTAAGAATATCCGGTTAACCAACCATGACAATTGAAATAAATAAAAGAAAATATGTAAAATTATGTTACTTTTTCTTTGGAATGTTTGGAAAACAAGCCGTTATAAGATAACTGAAATAAAATATGGAGTAAAATAATGCAAAATATAACAAACTTTCTTGCGGGTTATTTACAAGAAGGCAGCTTCTGCTTTATATTTACGACAGGAAGCTCCTGAGCTTGCAAAGGCTTTTTAAAAGCCGGGACAAAATAAAATAATTTGAGTACCGTTATCGATCTGGGAATGAAAATGATGTTATAGCTCCAAGTCTCAACTTTTTATATAGACCTACACTATTATCATATTTGCGAAAATGTGTCTGTTTGTCTGTTACCTCTCCATGATTAAATCGCTGAACCGAATTTAGGTATTTTATATAGTTTATCGGCGATAGTTTGAGTTCGGAAGACATGCTATACTTTTTAACCCAAAAAACATGCTTTATACTTTAATTTTTTAAATTGATGCTTAGAAATAGCCTTCACTGGATGCGGCTTAAAAAGTACGTGGTAAGTTTTAAAAACTCGCAACTCTTGCTCACATTAACACTTTATATAAGATTGGGTTTTTCAACAATAATTTTGTTTTCTAAAACAAAATAAAAAAAAACATAGTCGAAGATGATTAAATTTTTTATTGAATTACAAAGAGAAAAGTTAGGCAATTATGAATGAAAAATGATATCTGGCAGATGTCCACCACGAGCACGCTGACAGATGTCGATTCTTTCATCAAAGTTTTTAATCACTATTTGGCAAAATGGCGGGACTATTTCGTTAATCACATCACGGATTTTGAGTTTTAAGGCTGTAATCGATTCGATTGACCCCGCATAGACTCTGTCCTTAACATAACCCCACAAAAAATAATCTAGTGGTGTTAAATCACATGATCTGGCTGGCCACTTAACAGCTGAGTTTAGTATAAATTGATCGTTTCATTGGCTGTGTGACATGTGACGCCGTCCTGTTGGAACCACATATTAGTTATATCCACGTTTTCAATAATAGGTCAAAATTCGCTATTTGGTGGTTTTGGATAACCCCAATTGTTGAGAACGTCGCGGAATTGACAAATTTGGATCTGCTTCAACACTGTGGCTCACGGCTGTGATGCTTTCAGTTGGACGACCCGGTCGAACACGCGTTGGAGTTGGCACATTTTGTATCGAGCCTGTCGACTCAAATTTAACGACCAAATTCTTAACAGCGGTCTCAAAAGGACGATTATGTTGTCCGAAAATATCACGAATTTGACAATATGTAACTGTAACAGAACCACTATTTTCATAGTGGATTTTAATTATTTTAATTCGATTTTCAAGCGAAATTGAATTCATTGTAACAATTGCCAATGCACCTTCTACGAATACGTCAAAAACCTAAATGTTAAAACTATCATATTGTTGGTGTAGCCACAATTCAAAAACAAAGTTCTTGTTGAACAACCCTGTAGTAGTGGGTGCCCCCAACTGTATCTGCGTGGAAAATTAAGTTTCCCATACAAATTCTCCCCCTTTAACCCTAGCCCTACCAATGATTAAGGGTTTATTTACATATTTGTGGACGACCGATTGATACAATGGCAGCTTCTAGTATTTTCCTTTTTGTGAAAATCATAAAGATAAACTTTATGATACAGCGCTATCGGTTAACGCTTAAATCACAAGGTCATAACTTTGTGATTTTGTTTGGGTATTGGTGGATGATTAGGGTTAAATTATTTTATGGATTTGATAATAATTTAATATATAGGTATGCATGATTTTGTAGTTATATATTAAATTTTTGGTTGCTTGATTATGTGTATGTAAGATGAGAGTGAAAAGAGTTAATGGTTTCAGTTTTGTCGATTATTTCAACGAGTTTGCGTTGATGTGATGGTTGGATGCGATAATAGAATGATCGCTTCTAGAATGAGCGAATAGTGTTAAGCCTTCTGAACGACACAGGGTTAATGGTACCTACCTAACCTAATTCGTTAGGAAAACGAACACCATTAAGTATACCATTTATCGATAAAACTTAATAGACATGAAAATAAAGTGCAAGTTTATGTTCGATCTTCTTGAACGTGCTACCATACTTGAGTATGCTTAGATGCACTGCTGCGGTATTCGTAGCCGGCTAGCTTTATAAGATGTATCGCTTCGCACTCTTTCAGTGGACGGGTAAACCACATTGTGTCGATGGGGTACGTTAGCACTACGCAATCTTGAAACTTGAGTGTCTGTTCGAAGGCAACGAGAGCACGCTGCTGACAGCAACTGCAGGCTATATTATTATAAATGTGAGGCAGTCAATGTTAATTGCAAATAAAATAAGGTATAATTTTAAGTTTTTAAGCATGTAACTGATCGATGTTTAAATCTAAAGAAAATATTACTAGAAAAAAATCCTACGTGGACTACGCAGCAGACGGGACTTTTTCTAGTTATATTTTCTTTAAAATAAGGTACATTATGTAAATAATTATATTACAGTTAGAAACAAATAAATTACAACATTATTATAATAATTTTACCCTATTTCTAGCAATATATATGTACCTACATTATAGTTGTGTTAGAATCCGTTACAAACTTACCAGATTACGGGAATAAAAGTATTAAAATTTATTATCTCTAAAGACTGAAAAACGTAGATTAGATAGTGAAAATAATTATCAAATTTCGACCACAGTTGCAGAGGCTGCCCTCTGCAACTTTGCAAGACGAAAGTTGACCAATGCATTAGGTAACTAGTAAGTAATCTGTGGCCCCGATACTTATTTTTTTATAATTTCCGCATTTTGGTAAAGCGGTGCTAAAGCTCGGCTACTAGATTTACGGAGCGGCGCGTTTTCATATTAACAGAATTTATGTGCGTTTTTATTTTCGTAACCAATTTTTTTTAATTAAATTTAGCTGTACCCATCGCCAACATTATTGCATTTTAAAATGGCACAAGTAGTTCCCGACCCAATTTTCCTTGGCAACATCCGCCAATAGAGTGAACTAAAGTAGTCTCTATCAGTCTCATTCATAAAGCAGATTACATCTCGCTCTTTAGCCTCTAGGTATATGTCAACGTTTTCAGCAACTGTGCAAAATAAGTATTCACTATATATTTTTACAACAATTTCTTTAAAACTGTACTTATGAATGAAATAATACGTTTTTTTGTCTCTAATAGTTCCCGTGTGTTTTGTATACATATACATAAAACACAAACATTGGGCTTTTTTTCTGGAAAAACGTAAAATATTTACACGTTGTAGCAAAGTGTAGCAGCGGCGAGAGTGCGTGCGTGACTGAATGCAAGTGGGGCAATTACCTGACTTTCGTATTTCCAAATTAGAAGCGTGTATGACTATCTATAACTTTAAAACATCATAGGCTTACCTCAATTTTTTTCGTCCTATAATCTATTGTGTATCGCAATACGGCTGGCCACGAAGTAGATTTACTAAGTTATTAAAAAAATCAAACCTTATCAACAAGCATTGGTGTTTCAATGATAGGTGCTCACCTGTAACGCGGTTGGCCAAGATTCAATTCTCGGCCCATGCAGTTTCTTTTTTTTTTAATAACATTTTAGTAACATCAATGCAATGAAATTACCGAAATAATGTGCTGCATAATTTTAAACTTCACTGGCAATGTGGTTTCATAAAACAACTCATATTTTTTTATTTTAGGTCAAACTCCCCCTTCCTCCCTCACCCCTCTAAAAGCTAAACTATTTGCTTGAAAAACCAACAACTATAACTCTTAAACTAACAAACCTATCGTAACCATTATAATTTTCCTTAAAAGATTTGATACAGCTACTTTTGCCCCCTAGCTAAAATAGTCCCGGGGATCTTAATTGAATATGTTTAACTACATAAATATTCGGCTTTGGGCAAGCATTCTACTTAAAATACTATAATTTCTAACTCATTCATTTACGATCTAGAGACCCGTGACAGACACTCAACAGAGTGACAGCAATAGGGTTCTATTTTTACCCCTTGAATACGAAACCCTAAAACCAGGTTCTGTTTGACCATTTCAGGTTAGGGTACAAGTCTTCTTATTTCATTTACTAACATCACCCCATAAATTTTAGAAGGAGTTAGTGTACTATTCACTAGTCTATTAATGTTGTGGGGATATCCATCGTGTCCACAATCTCGCATATATTCAGATGCTGTAGGTATGCAGCATTTGAGGCAATTCCTTGAAATTCATTCCGAATGCCCGAATTCTGCAGTAGCTGCACGTGCAGCAAGCATTTACAATATTCTTTCTTGCGTCATCAGCGGCTGGCAATGAATATTTTAAAGACGACGAAATAAAGTTACGATACAAACTGACAGAAAGAATGACTGAAAACCAACTGCGATTTCGTCTCGCTTTTAGATATTATATTTTTGCATTCAAAAGTGCTCTCAAAGAAAGTATGTATATGTAAATAATTGGCTTGATGTGTGAATTTAAAATTCTTAATTGAATAAAGATTAAAACCAGTGTATAAATATTCAAGAACGCTGCCAGGTCTTAGAAGAAGTCGCTTTATCAGCCGGTAGTCCTCAGTCAGGCCTTCAAATACCCGCATTTTATTAACAATTTGGTACTGTCTTAAATGTCACATAGCTACAATATGTTCAAATCGATGATTTAAATCTGACCCAGTTCAGTGCCCGCATAGATCGTCATTTGATACAAAAACTCCAATAAGGATATCTATTTGCATTCAATATAGCGATACGCAGTTGTGTATTACAGTTTCAAGATTTTTTCAGTGCGATATAGCTTAATGCATAATATAATCGCATCAGCACAAGGAATTATTCCTACAGTAGTTCGACCCGTGACGCGTAAGTGACATAATTCTGCTAACAAACTCTACTCGCGCCATCTATAAATG